CTGTCCGTCCTCGGAAGGCTTGCTTGTGTAATGCCGTTGCAATGCCAGGGCCATCCATGCTCCACAAGCTGGCTTGTGTGCGCACATATTCAGCGCATTCAATTAGGCCCCCGGTTGCGCAGGCCGCCATTTGGAAGCATGCACCTATACCATCAGAGTAGTGCGGTGCCGTGAAGGAGGAGGTGGCTCGGGCAAACCCTGCCTCGCTACTAAACAGGAATCCAGAAGCCCGACATGTCACAAAGACACATATCCCAAATGTGGGGCCAGTGGAGCAGGCCGTGGTGATAGCGCCGAAGAAGCGTTTAAGGGACCCTATGCCATTCATGAAGAAGGTCCGAAACGTCACAAGGCTCCAAGTGTTGGGCGCGCCAGTCAGCGGGAAGTCTTCCGCGGTTTGGCAGGCTTCAAGTAGGCTCATATCGTCATCGCCCAGTGGGTCCGCGGGGAGACTCAACTGCAGCATAAACTTCATTTGGGTAACAATCCTGGCATACTGAGAGACCATCCCGATAGGGGAGTCAGGATAGACCTGGTGCCCAAAAGTGAGCACAATGTCCGCCAGGACCATGCTGAGGTCGTAGCTTCTGCCTAGCTTGGTTTGGGTCTCATCCTGATCTTGCACCCGTACCCATCGAGGCTACGCAGTGGCCGCCCGAGCAGGTGCTGCATCGTAGGGCCTGGTGGCATACGTAGCCGAGGGACCCCGCCTATCAGCTCGAAGCGGCACGCCTCCGAGTACCGACATGCGTATAGAATGGCAGCAATCTCAGGAGGGAGGCGCATGGATGAACAGAGCAAGAGGTTGACAGCCGGTCCGACAATGGCCTTCAGCCCGGCGGCCTGCATGACTGTCTCGGCTTGCTTCGGTTTGACGATGCTCATACAGAGAATCGATTCCAGCATCGAGACCGCTGAGAAAAATACCTCAGACGCTCCAGAGGAACGGTGGGGCTTGCCCCAAGAGGGCATCTCGCCTTGTCCCTTTTTCCACGGGCCGTTTGCCGCAAAAGGGCCGCAGGCAAGGTGGCTGGCGTGTGGAGGTCGGCAGGGACCGCATTGAGGCCACAAATCTTTTGCTCCAGCAACTCCGTGACGAAGTGGTAATTGGGTCGCGATCCTCCAGCGGGCTGTCTGTGGTCGCCAATCATGACATCAAGTGCATGCTTGATGTGCGCCAGAATGGTGTTGGAACCAGGCGTGCCCAATTGCTGGGCTTCATCTCGGAGGAGCAACTCAACATCCTTTAGACGGTTAATGAGCTGCGAGTAGGGAAAGCTAAGCCTTGCCACAATCGTACCATGTGTCGTGGCTACAAGTAGCCCCCGGTACACATCGTGCACGCGGGTTTGGGTTTGGAGGGACCTGATGCGTGCCGACGCGCAGGCCAGCGCCAAGGTTGCGTGGCCTTCTGTGAGATGCCTGGACTGGGAGGTTCCTCGTTGTCATTATAAACCCTGTGGCGTTAAGGGTTTGGTAACTCGCTGAGGACTCTCCCCGTGGAATCGGTAGCTGCAGCTACTCTCGCCCCCCCTCTGGCCGTGCGCGGGCACCTCTCTGGGTGGGCACTTGTGCGCCAGGTTGACTGGAGAACCCTGTGCTTGGAGCTACTCCACTGGCTGACCACCATGGAGTGCCCTGGGCCGGTCCTGCTTTGATTGTTCTTGCTGTCAAGTCCCCACTGGCTGACCTCCATGGGGCATATGCCCCCTGTGCCGGGTGCGGACACCTCTCTGGGTGGGCACTTGTATGCCAATGTGAATGGAGCACCCAAAGCTCGGAGCTACTCCACTGGCTGACCACCATGGAGTGCCCTGGGCCGGTCTTGCCTTGATTGTTCTTGCTGTTAAGTCCCCACTGGCTGACCACCATGGGGCATATGCACATCTTTCATCCCCCCTAGGGAGTCTGACTTGCAACATCCTTTCGCCATTGAGTGTCGGTTGTCTGTCCTTGACAACGAGTACGTGATCCGAACCTCTTCTGATGACCTCGGTTTGAATAACCGCTGTCGCACCAGTGGCTACATGATGGTGGTTTTGAGAATCTGGCAATGTCGCAATTTGCGATTCCCCCACAAGCTCTGTGCTTCCTTGTGAACCGGGACTTCATTGACGACTTCGAGTACTGAGTCCGTGGGGTATCTAGTAGTTCAGCGCGATTGCTCGCTTTGTTTCTTTGGTGTTTGTTTGCTTGGTGGTTGCTTGGTGTGTCTGGCGGATTGTGTGCGCTGACTTTGTTTCACCCTTTACGTCGAGCCCAACAAGACCGGCCTACTGTGCTACTGATGTAGTAAAGAGGCGTCAGTCCAAAAAAAATCCCACAGGCACACCGCGGGGCCGACCCAGAAGGGTGTTCACAGCTGCAAGCTGTAAGCGCACAAAAGACAAGCACGATCCAATCCGTGGCATAGACCACGAGAGGGTTGCCAAACCAAGAGTATCCCGAGGTAGTCTTGCGGCATGTATCGGTGAGGAGATGTGAGGGCTCACATCACGCTAGGCAGCATGCCATGAAAGGACTCAATGGTGCGTTCGCATGGCGTCAGTAGGAGCCCTCAGATGACAGTTTGCTGGCTATTGCCAGGAGCCATCCCAGTCCGGACGCCGGGAGCGATGGCCAGCAGAGGTGGTATGGGAACGCCTCCCTCGGCTGGGCATGACCTGCATTGGAGGCAGCTCTTGCTCATCAACCCCCCACTCAGGGATCTACGGCGTCCCTGGTGGCTTAACCACCTCGAGCAAAGCGGCCTTGAGCCAAAGGGTTTGAGGCTAAAGCCAAGGCGGAAGCCGCAAAGGCATCTGCACCGAGTGACCCGTTCCTCGCTGCGACTTGTGGAGGTTCCCTTCCTTCTTCAAGCCCTAAAGATACTGGAAGTTCATCCGTTTCCAACCGTGCCGACAAGTACCTTCCACAGCTGTCTGTCATAGCCCACCAGGAGATGGGTAGAGACAGAATGCGAGAGATTGAGGCTTGGCACGGCTTCCTGGAGACGATGAGTTCATGGTTGGCCCTGCAAGACGAGGCCTACGTGAACGAGCTTCGACTCTGCATCAGTGTCAAGGACGAGATCCGACAGGACCGTTTGCCTCCGGACACCGCAGCTCGGTCAGCGAAGTTGTTTTACCTGCTTTCCCAGAGCTTGGCGAAGTGGGAGCGTGGTTTGGAGTTGCTTCGAAGCTGTAGCAAAAGGCAGAGCATGTCTGCTACCGGCTACGAGGCAGTTTGCACCTTGCACCTGAACTACTCCATTGTGTCTCGAATGGAAGCCGTCTACGTGAGAGACGGTTGCATGAAGTTGCATGCACAGTGTTCGGGGCTCAAAAAGCCCATGGACATCATCAGACACTTGGAGGACGAAATCGCCAAGGCGGAGATCAAGTTGAGCAACTTCCCCGAGTTGAAGCTCTTCGAAGCCGATCGCTGTTCCATCCTGCTACAGGCCGTTTCGCATCCGGCGAGACAGTATGTGGCGCTGCACGGCAACGCCAACAGCTGGAGTGAGCTCACAAAGAGCCTCAAATACTTCGAAGAACAGCTCAGGATGTGCGACGTGCCGACTGCAGCCAATCGTGGAATGGACGGCAAGCTTTGCGACCATTGCGGCAAGCATGGTCATGTAGCAAAGGATTGTTGGTCTCGACAGCGTGAGGCTGGTGAGAAAGGCGGCAAGGGCGGCAAGGGAGAGTCGAAGAGTGGAAAGGGCGCTGGAGGCCCCAAAGGACAGAGGTCCCCCACTCCGAAGGGAGCTCCTCGCTCTCCAACGCCGAAAGGAAAGCCCACCTCCAAGGGAGACAAGGGTGCCAAAGGAAAGAAGGGCGAAGGAAAGGGCAAAGGAAAGAAGCAGAAGAAGAAGAACCGCGCCCGGGCTATGGGAGAACCAGAGTCCGAGGCGGAAGCAGAGCCTACACAGAGTGTGATGGCGATGCGCTTTGCCCAACGAAGTCCTGAACTGAGCCTTTCTGAGTCGTCTGAGCGTAGGGTAGGTTTTTCACTCGACAAGCAACGATTGGGACCTGTTAGCAATTCTTTGACTGCAGGGGATGTAGAGCGCATCTGCGCCAGCTTCCAGCTAGAACCGAGGGACGTCTGGTTAGTGGATTCTGGAGCCACGTGTCACGTGGTTTCCTCAGAACACCTCAGTGGATTCAGGGTGGTGAAGACTCATGAGAGAGAGGTCACTCTGTACAACGCTTCAGGGGGGAAGATCCCTGTATCAGGCGTCGTCGACTTAGAGGTCGTCTTCGGTGATTGTAGCCTTCTTTTGACGGAGGTTCTCGTTGCGGAAGTTACGTTTAACGCCATTAGTCCCTGGGCGGCGGTGGAGAAAGGGTGGAGAACGTATCTCTACAAAACCGGGTCTAGGTTGTACAAAGGCAAACGCGACGTGAAACTCGTATCCGCTAATCGGTTGAGCGGGGGTCGCCGCCAGAAAGCGGGGAAAGGTCGTTCTCCACGCCAGCCTTCGGGCTCGGACATGGAAATAGACGCGATTACCTGCCTGCAGGACTCTGTTGTTAAGCCACAGCCAGGACCGAGCATCCTCAAGAAAGCGACGACAGGAGGAAAGAAGGCGGAAGTCGAGAAGCCACAAGGAAGAGAGAGCGGTGATTGCCGGCATGCTTTGCTTGAGACGCCGTTTGCTTTCTTGCTGCGAGGGCTTAGAGCCGAAGTATCCCCGAAAGTGGTCCCTGAAGTTCCTCAAGAATGCACCGAAAACACCCCGAGAGTGCCCGAGAACACCCTGAAAGTGCCCGAAATGCCCAAAGGAGTGTCCAAAGAACAGCCCAAACGAACCCCTCAACTCATTAGGAAGCCTGTTGAAAGGCCCGTGGCATGTTTTGTGGCATGTTTATTGGCATGTTTTGTGGCATGTTTATTGGCATGTGGTGTGGCATGTTTTTCGGCATGGTGTTTTGAACTTGTTGATTTTGAACGAACGGAGCAAGCTTTGGCCGAACAAGATTTTGGATTGTCCCAACTGTCCTTTTGTAGAGATCATGGGGGCGCGTGTTGCCTCGGTGGACGACGCTCCTCAGCGCTTTGCGCGTTCTCCTACGCCAGCTCGGTCACCGACCCCGGAGTTTTACCATCATCTTGCAGAAGCCGAAAGGCTAGAACAAGAAGGTATCGAGGAGGGAGAAAGGGCAAGGATGGAAGCTGCCGAAGAAGAGCAGCGTCATGGAGAGAGCAAAGCCGGCATCCACATGTCAATTGCTCTAGCTGCCCGCTCTCGAATGTTGCCCTCGATGGAGGAGCAATTTCCTCTTATTCCTGCGCGGCGTATCGACTTGGAGGAGGACTCATGGGGCGATTGGGCCAGCCACTCCCGAGTACGCACTTTTGTGCGGCGACAAGAGGAGTTGTATGCAGAACAGGGCCAGAGCTGGACCTATTGGTGGCACAAAAAGGAACAGCAGCCTATCCCATCGTGCAGGGATTTGATTGGCGAGCCGTTGAATCTTTTGAGCAAGGCTATGACTGTGCCGGGGTACTTGGAGGAAATGGTGGTTGGGAGTGCAGTGCCTGCTCTTCCTTTGGAGGATGGAGAAGTGATTTTCTGTCCCTATGGATCCACCGAGGATGTGCCTTGGGCTCATGGTTGCCTTCCTCAAAAGGAACAGGAGCTCAGGTGGTTGCTTCGCGAGCCTCCTTTGGAGCAACCCGAACGCCCGATCGAGACGGCGGAGGTGGAATGCATGACCACCGAATTGGAGGACCATCACGAGAAGATCCTTTCCCAGCTTACCCAGGCTGCTTCGGCCGTGGATTTTGGATGCAGCTTGAAGGTCATCACCATCGTGGTGGATCAACTTGGGGAATCTTTGGTCTCCAACAAGTCCGTGCACCCCAAGTTGCTTCCGATGTCTTACCACCTTCAGCAAGGCCACAACTTTGCCCTGTACCTCCTTGGGTTGGTGAACTTGTACCAGGAGCACAACGAGAAGTACGACATTGGCCATGCGGAAAGGGTGACGTCGGAAACCACTCCGATGTGGATACAGAAATGCATCTGGGAAGTGATCGGCAATGTGATCAAGAACGAGGCCAAGGAGCATTACTCCCTGGAGGAATATCGGGCGTCCACAAAAGCTGCCCGATCCAAGGCGGCAGCCCGACCTCCACCGGATGGTGGCAGCGATACGGAATCTTCCTCATCAGGTGGTTTGTTGGTCCTGCACAGGTCGTACGAGGACCTCGGCTGGATGGGGCGGAGTATCCTCAACGAGCTTCGAGGAAAGCCATCGGAGCCCCGGGAAATCACGGGGGCCGACTATTGGAACCTCCACATTGTGCCGGGGGAGCCCGTGGGAACTCCGGAGCCTCCAGCCGTTCCACCTTTGGCGGTCCCGACGCCGCCGCCGATCCCAGCATTTCGGCTGCCTCCACACCCTCCGGCGTCGGTGTCTGGAGAGAGCAACTTGGAGGCCTGGAGGCTGTTGGATCCTTCAGAAGTTGGTTTGCCACCTACTCCGCGGTCTTTGCCTCCAACGCCTGTAAGCCGAGGGTCAGTTTCGCCAAGGCGCTCGAGGTCCCCACGACGGATTCCACCAAATCCAGAGCTTGCATCGATCTTTGCCAGTGTAAGAGAGACGATAGCTGTTTCGCAGAGCCAGCTCCAAGGCTCCGGCTCCAGCAGTTCGTTTCCCCCACAACCTCCAGGATTGTAAGCTGTTTGTCAAAGACAAAGGGCCGACTTGATATTTTGCCCGAAAGCCTGAAGCGAGATTCTTCCTTTGCGCCGCATCGTTGTTTTGCGCCCCGACAAGCAAAAAGAGAACCGGCTCGGAGACACGAGCAAGTAGGTGATTTTGAGTGGCATGAAACTGTGGCATGTTGTGGCTTGAGCTTGGCATGTTTGACTTGTTGTGGCATGGAAACATTTTGGCTTGGAAACATTAGCCTTGAGGCCTCAGAAGTTAAAAGGCATCTAGTGGTAGGACCCCTAGGAGAAATTGGAGGTTCAAAGCCCCGAGTAAAAAGAACCCCTTTCCGCCTTCACGCCAGGCGGTCCGCTAAAATTCCAGGATTAGTCATCGACGTCGCGATGATGTTCCTCATCCTGATCTTCAGTGCCTTGGTTGGGGTCGTTGTTTCGGGTCTTTGGAAATTGCTCGAAAAGTGTTTTCAGAGAGGCTCCAAGAGAGCACCTGAGATGAGTAGAATAAAGCCCCGAAAAGGAGGATGTTGGATTCGTATTCGCGCCCGAAAATGCTTCAAGCGTGTTTGCGTAGAACGGATCTTTCTGGTTGGTAGAAAAATCCCGAAAGCCCCAACTCAGGGAAAGCCCAAAACCTTAAAGTTGTTGGCTTGCGTGCGGCATGTTTGGCATGTTTTGGCATGGTGTCTTGACGTGGCATGCTGTGTGTTGAAGGGAAATGATGAGAAAGTGCCGGAAGGAGGCTTAAAGCAGCCAGTGACTGAGCATCTGCGGATGCTCAGAGGGCTGCCCCTTCCAGGAAGTGGCACAGGCTCTGATCCCTTGATCTTGGATCGTGATGATGTTGAACCGTCGTCCTCGTTAACCCAACCGAATCGTTCCCCACAAAACCCGGAACAACCTCCTGAAGCCCCAATTCCACAAGGAGAGGAGATAGAAGAAAGGATTCCTTTGCGAAGCCACGCACTCCAGGTACATCGATCCCGAGGTCATTTTCCCTATGATGTGAACTGCGAAAGCTGCTGCTCTAGCAAAGGCAAAGTCCCAGCCAGGAGACTGAAGAGGCAGCTACAGAAGGAGAATCAAACCATTGGGGTCGATTTCTATTATTTTGGGAAACTGAGGGTTCTTCTTCTTGTACATGTTGCGTCCCGGTACTCAATGTCTATCCCCGCCATGGAACTACACGACCCGAACTTGTTATTCAACATCGATCGGTGTATCCGCGAAATTGGATTGCACCAAAAGACTTTAACGTTTCGGTGCGATAACGAACAGGGTCTGATATCCATGTGCGAGAGGGTCGCGGCGCAGAGGCGCGAGAACCCTACGATTGTAGATGTTGTGCCAGGATACCGTCCGCAGTCTAAAATCAAGCGGCGTCTTCCTTTGAGCTTAAGTTTGGAGGGAGTAGAATCTGTTGTCAGGTCCCCCAACAAGCTGTGTCAGAGATCTCTGGTGAGCTGTTAGATCCCAAACTCCTCTATCTGTCCATGAAACTGGAACTAGAAGAATTGGAGTCGTTCAACGTAGGAGAAGTGGTGAGCGAGCGAGAAGCGTACAGACTTGCTAAAGAGAGCGGAAGAAGAGTTCTGTCGAGCCGTTGGGTCAATACGGTTAAGAAGCCTGGTCTTTACCGCTCTAGACTTGTTGTCCGCGATTTTGCCGCTATGGGCGGCACAACGCTCGCTGAGGGGATCTATTCTCCTACCACCAGCCTGGAAGGGCTGCGGCTCCTACTTTCCGTTCTGTGTAGAAAAGGGTCTGTGCTGTCCTGTGACGTGTCGGTAGCGTTTATGCACGCCGCTATTGCGCGGCCGGAGTTTGTGCAGCTTCCGAGTAACATAGGAAACGCAAAGACCGGCGAAAGGGTCTTCCTGAAACTGTTTCGTGCCATGAACGGGCTTCGAAGTGCCCCGCTTTCTTGGTACAAGGAGCTGTCGGCGTACTTGGGAAACCAAGGATTCCAGCAGATCTTGGACCCTACAATCTTCCGCAAGAAAACCAAAAATGGTTTGGTGATTGTCCTCTTTTATGTTGACGATCTGTTGATTTGGGCCGAGAACACCGCCGAAGCTCGAAAGGTGTATGAAGACCTGAAGAAACGCTACAAGCTTAAGCTAACAGGTGAGCTCTTGGAAGGAAAACCAGGTGAGGTGTCTTTCTTGGGACGTAGGATCTTCCGGAAGAAGACCGGAGAGCCCTGCGTATACTTTGGCTTGGACGCTAAGTACTTGAGGTCTTGCTGTGAGGAGTACGGAATCACTAAGGTGGCGCCGAAGCTTCCACCATTAGAGCGGCGGTATGCCGACCTCATCAAGAAAGGACAGGACACACCTCTTACGCCAGAGGCGCACGAGCGCTATAGGCGTACCTTGGGACGCCTAGCCTGGGCGTCGCTTTCAAGACCTGATTTGCAGTATGTATGCGGTTTTCTAGGAAGACACCAGTCAGCCCCCAACGAAGCAGCCGAAGCCTGTATGAGGGATGTTCTGAGGTGGGTGTCTGGTTTACCGCATAAGGTCCAAGTGTTCCCCTCACGTAGAGAGCTCTTAGCCCCTGATGAGGACCGAGAGTCAGTGTCGTGTTTTGTTGACGCGTCTTGGGGTTTGAACTCTGTGAGTGGTGGAATTGTGACCTGGAACAACTGTTGCTTGAAGACGTTCAGTAGGAAACAGACGACCGTAGCTCTGTCATCGGCAGAAGCCGAGCTAGCAGCACTGACTGAAATCGCCAGAGAGGGATTGTATATATCTCTGTTGGTGCAGACTATGGTGGAGGGGATGCCTTCTGATTCGGAGGAAGGCCGATATCAGTTGCACGCGTACGGGGACTCTGAAAGCGCCCTGTCCATAGCGCAAATGAGTACCCTCCTGAGGAAAGTTCGCCACATAGAGTTGAGAGCTGCTTTTCTCCAACAACTAGTCGCTAAGGAAAGATTGACGCTGGAGTATATACCGGGGAAACTCAACCCCGCAGATGCTCTAACGAAATCCCCAACTGCGGAGAATTTGGTCAGTCTTTGTGAGGCCGCTGGCCTCAATACCGAGCCAGAATCGTGGTCGTCGATCTCTGAAGAAAACGTCGAAGAAGTAAGAAATGAGCCCAATATCACTGAGGAAGTATCGTCGAACGCAGTAAGGTCCTCTCCGCTGGAGGTTCCGAGCTCTTGGATGGAAGCCGCGACGGCAGTGGCTAGAGGGACAGTGTCGCTCGTCGTTCTGGAGCTTTGCTGCGAAGAGTCGAGTGCTATAGCGAGAGCGTGTGCTCGAGAGAAAGGCATAGCGTACTTCGGAGTGACTCGGGAAATCAATCTTCTGAGTAAAAACACCGTTTTAGTCCTCGAAGAAATCCTGCGTGTCCTGAATCAGGGAAAGGTCCGTGTCTTTGCGCATTTGTCTACGCTTTGTAGCTCAGGCTGCCCCTTGAGGTACCTGCGTTTTCGAAAGCGACGAGGTTTGGAACTTTGGCGGAAGACGCTAAAGATTCACAAGAGTTGCTGGAGACTTATAGGGAAGCTATTCGGCCCCTATTCCTCGAACGAGGGTTTGCTGTTAACCCACGAATGGCCTGAAAGGTCCTCTTTGTGGAAGGAAACGGTATTTTTAGAAGTCTCTAAAAGCATTGGTCTGACGCAAGGATGTCTAGTAGATAGGTGCTGCTTCGAGAAGAAAGAGAAGACTTGGAAGAGATGGTGGTTCGCTTCTAATAGTGCTGCCTGCGTGTGGGAACTGTCTTCGTACGTTTGCGCAGGAAACCACGAACACTCGAAGAGTGCGCCTCTGAAGGAGTCTGGGACCTACCCGGAAGAGCTTGGAAAGGCTCTTGTCAGGATTGGAAAGAAGATCCTGAAGCAGGAAGAAAGAAAGGACTGAAGGGAACTACCCCAGGACCATCTGTGCATGAGGGGGTGTGTAAAATTCTCCCCTGGCTCAAGTTTCGGCTCAACCCCGGTGGGGTGCTCAGGTAGGGAGTGCTGTTGCCTGGAGACTGTACCTAAGGGTGGGCTCCAACAGGACTCAAACCGCAACCACTGTGTTTGCTTGGTAGTCGGCTGCCAGCAACATAGCTGCCTGAGTACGGCCTCGCCAAGTGCTGAGGGAACTTTTCGGCCTCGCTTCGGCAGAGGGTGTGTTTTCGGCCTCGCTTCGGCAGAGGGAGTGGCCAAGTTTCGGCCTCGCTCCGGCTGAGGACACATAAAGTTCGGCCTCACTACGGTTGAGGGGATCTTCCGGCCTCGCATTGCTGAGGTGCTGGTGGGACTGGCATCAGGCTGCAGCAGTCATGGGGAAGCATTGTACTGTGTGTGCCCACTGCGAGGTGGGTTGGGTCTGGAATGAAGACTTGTACTACAACCCGTACTGCTGGCATTGCGGAAAGGCGTGGAAAAAGGCCACTTACCGTGAGCGAGCATGGTCAAGCCAGCGGAAGAAGTGGCAACGGCCAAAGGAAGATGCTACTTGGTGGACAAGACCTGCCAAGAACAAAGAAGGGATGGCCGACCAAGCCCTCACGAAGGCGTGGGGTACGCTTTCTATGGAGGCAAAGAAGGCCATCGAAGAAGCAGGATGGAAGCCGCGGACGATGGAGCCGGGGCCAATTTGGCCCCCGGGATTACCTGGCAATGGATCGCAGGCAGAAAGCATGTCACAGAAGGAGTACCATGCGGCCATTGAGACTGTGTGGCAAGGAGCCGAGCCCGCAGTGCAAAGGCTCCTCAGAGCGGCGGGTATACCCCCGCCGGGGGACTACAAGCCTGAGGACGAGACGCCAAAGCAGGAACTCAGCCGCCATGTTGGTACATACAGACGGACGACAAACAAGCTGAGAACGCTCATTGAGAAGAAGGTCCGGCTTCAAGACAAAACGGAGAAGATAAAGAGCGAGTTCGAGCAGGCCATGAAGCAGCTTGCGCAAGTCAGCCAGGCCATCCAGGCCACGGAGCTGGAGGTAGCGGAAGCACAGAAGAAGGTCCAAGCCTGTGTGAAGGATGAAGAGGACTCGCCATAC